GTGACCCACCGATCTCTCATCTCTATTCCACAACTAAACCTAGCTAAACCACTGTCCAGGACATCTCTATTCCACAACTAAATTGTTGTCCAAGAAAAGAGCCATCTCGTCTAGGAATAGATCCATCTCCATTAGAAAACTTCATAATAACCAAGATATATATCCTAGATTCTTATTTTTTTTGGATTTCTATTTCATTTAGGAAACTTATCAATATCAATCCCATGAGATTTTCTTATACGAGTGATTTTGGATATGACCAAATCCAACAAATGTAAGGTAGGAATCCAAATATTTTGAAGTTTGGGCCAAAAGGTGTATCTCATAGAAATACGTGAATTACCCATGATATTGGAGAAGAATAGCCAAAAGAAGCGTCCTATGAGAATATATGATCAAGAAAAGTTAAAATTTTAATTAAATTATAGAGCCAAATAAATAAGAAATTAGATTAGAAAAAGATAGAGATGTGACAGAAAGAGATTTAGGAAAGTTAAAGTTTTGAATAAGTCAGCCAAATAAATAGGAAAGTAGATTACAAAATGGGTAGAGACATGATGAAGAAATTTTTTGTTTTGTTCGATGAAGAGAGATACATGAGAGGAATAGTGGGAGAGAAAGAAAATCATGAAAAGATAAATTGTGAGATATATCTACTATATATCAAGTGAGAACGAGGCCTGCACTATTTTTATGACACATGTCCTCTCCCTAATTTTTCTCTTTCTAGAAAAAGAGTTCAATCGGCAAAACAGTTCGAGTGTTTTCTCCCTTGCCAAAAGTTTCACAGCTAAAAGTTCTAACCTCCTTAAATCTCTCCAACAATCTCTCTCCTTAAATTAAACACCAACGGTAATTTCTTTCTTCGCTCATTTCTTTCTCCCCTCAATCATCCCTCTCCCTAAATCTCCCTCTCTCTCCTTAGATAACTCTTTATTTATCTCTCCTTAAATATCTGCCCCACTCTTCCTTTCTCTCCCTCTCTCTCCATGCATCCTCTCTCTTTTTTGTCTCAAAGCTTTTTTGTAATATCTACCCATTTTCCTTCTAAAATCTCTTTTTATTTTTTATCTTATTTTGTTTTATTTTAATTTTGACATGTTTTTTGCCGGATTGTGATTTAAAGCTAATATACCAGTTAATCATAGATATCTAGATACTGTTAATTTTGAACATCCTTTTAAAATTCTAGATAACAAAATGAGTTTCTTTTATTTATTATGGTTTGGTACTATATTTTTTTGTGCCATTTGCTATTTAATCTCATTATATATGTTATTTATTAAATATGTAAATTTAATTTATTGTGTGGATAGAAACAAAGAAGAATATCATTTGGCTCGAGTATTTGTGGTTGAGTAATTTGATTAATGATAATAGTGTTTTCTAATTGCTGTAGTTTTATATCAGTTAATCATAAATCTCTAGAAGATGTCAAATTTTAAACACCCTTCTAAAATGTTAGGTAACAAAATGAGTTTGTTTTATTTATTATAGTTTGGTACTATATTTATTTGTGTTGTTTTTCATTTAATTTAAATATATTTTATTTATTAAATTTTTAAATATGTTTTATTGTGTGATTCAAAAATAAAGAAGAATATACCAGTTAATCATAGATCTCTGGACGCTATTAAATTTTGAAAACCCTTTTAAAATTTTAGGTAAAACTTATATTCATAATCATGTTAATTATTATAGATATTGACATGTATAAATATAAAGTTATTGAAACTTTATAATATATCTATTTATTTTAAAATTTATTATTATATAATAATTTATTATAATTTCATTAGTGGAGATTATGATAATAGTGTTTATTCTTAGTATATAATAATTTATTATAATTTCATTAGTGGAGATTATGATAATATTGTTTATTCTTAATATATAATTATTTATTATAATTTCATTAGTGGAGATTATGATAACAATGTTGTATTATTAATAAATTATAATTGCATAAATTTATTGATGATAAATAAAAAAATTACAATTTTAATATATTTTATATCAATCAATAATATTTGTCAACCATAATGAACATGGTGATAATTAATCAATTTGATTATATTAATTATAATTCAAAACTATTATAATATTCACAACAAAAAATAACGATAATTATTAATTAAAAATAGGTGGAGTATGATTGTAATATGTTTTAAAATATCATACTTATTACACAAATAATTATAATTAGGACACGGTTTCTATGTGGCCATCCCGCATATTGTAGAAATGCAGGCATAGCAATAAATATATATTTTAAATATAATTTGATCCTAATTTTGGAGAATATATAATATTTAATATGAAGATAACGAATATGAAGAAAAAAAAACTACAAATAGTAATTATATTAAGAAAACATTTGGACCGCTAGTGACAATTGTTTTTAGATGGACCAGCTATTTGCATCCATCTTAAAGATGGATGCTTTATACCTCTGAACCGCATATAGTAGAAATGTGGTCCAGCCTGTATGAAAGAAATTTCCTTATAATTATAGATTGTATTATTTTAAATATAACTATATATGAATAATAATATTATCATAAAATATATTCCACATTAATTTTTTATTTTCAGAGATACTTTGGTCGGCATTCTAAGTGTGATCAAGATGCGTATATGAATAATAATAATTATACTTTGATAATTAACAAATACAATAATTCATTTAGTATAATGAAATTAAATAAAGTTTGATTAGTCATAGATAGAACAATTATGTTTTACTATTAGAATTTTACTTAAATAATATTAATCACCATATTAATCTATTTTAATAATATATGAATAATTATATAATATAAATTTATTTTTATAAGTAATAAATATACCTAAAATTGAATTAATAACTATAATAACATCCTTTTTATGTTATTTAATTTGATATATTAAAATTTTAATTTATTAATTTCGCTAAATTGATGTCTATTCATTCAAATAGTGTTTCAATCATTTTTTTTTGTATGACTAGTATTTCTTCTCCCTTTCGCTATGAAAAGTATTTCATGTCTCCTTCACTTACTCCCTACATGTGTGAGAAACTATTACTTTTATTTTATCATGGAATTTAGTTTAATTTTTATTTCCTTCTATGTTTTCATTTTAGATTTTGTAAATTTATTTACATTGTAAAATATTATTACAAAAATATTACATGCATAAAATTTTAATAACACCTGCAATGGTGGTGCATGCTACTAGTTTTTATTAGAAGAGGAATACAAGAGAGTGATAATGAAAGGGAGAGGGAAAACTAAGGAAAGAAAAAAGAAGAAAAATAGGGAAGTAAATAAGAAAATATAAATTTGCACCATGGAGAAAGCTTGTGAATCTCTCTCTCTCTCTCATTTTTTTTAATTATTCGACTTTCTTTTATTAAATTCAATTGTCCATAGTTGAGACTTTCTATATGACGCATCTATCTATATTAAATTTTAAAAGCCATGATTACTAACTTTCTCTTTTTACATTTGACTATGTTCCTCCAAGCCACTGCATGGTCCTCTTCATCTCCTCACTTAATCAACGTGTTCTTCTTCCCCACTCCAACATAACATATACCCCATTAATTTATCCTTAAAATTTATGGAAACTCCTCATTTATGTTTGACTTTGCATTTTGTGTAAATTAATATTCGAATTTATTTCATATGCTTTAATGATTAATAAAAAATTTAATTAAAATATAAAAATAGAAAAGAAAAATAAATAGCATAATCATCATTAGACGCTGTGGTATCTTAAATAAATTAAATTGTAGAAAAACTTAGTTGGGAGAACAATATAATGCATCGACTCATAAAGTTGAATGATTTGAAAATCAGCCTTTGACAATATAAAACTGTAATATATGCTAATAACGCAAAAAAATATTTATCGATCATAAGAATAAATATAAAGTTCATAAAATCCAAATGAAAAAACAAATATTGCATCCTATGGGTTTTGTGAATTAAGATATAACCTCTTATAATATTTTAAAAATTGTAACTGGAATATAAAAAGTCATTCGTAGATATGTATATTTTATTTTAAATTTCAAAATTGATAATAAATAATTATTAAATCATAATAAAATATAACTGAAAATATAAAAGTTTTTAGAGTCAGAATCCTATTTATGTATAAAATAGTTCGCAATAATTATAATTGGAATTAGTAATAAACAATTCAATAAAATTAGTTATGATCAATTCTACAAAAAAATGAAAGTTCAATGATTACAACCCATATATATATATATAGCAATGAAAAGGGAGAAAATCCAAATTATAAATGCATAAAATTCATAAATAGGTTTATAAAAATAAAAAATCCAAGAGTATCACCTAATGTAACCATAAGAATAATAAAGTAAATCCAACTCTGCTATGATTGCTTTGAATTTGTCTATAGAAAAAAATTGAAAAGTAGACAAAAAAATAAAATTTTCAAAATTTAAAATTAACCATTTTCATACCGGATATATTTTTATAAAATTAATTTTTATAAATTAACCATTCAAATGGGAATAGATTGAAAAGGCCAATAATAATAATAATAATAATAAGTATATTAATCTATTATTGCAATACATATGTATGTGATTATTTTATAATTTTGTTTATATGTACCCTTTATTGCATATTTATATGATTATTTATAGGACCCGATTTCAACGCATATGTAGAAATGCAAGCCCGTTAATACATCTATTTTTGAGATGGATTTTAAGACTTAATTTTTAAAGAGATGTAATTTCTAACATGGAGATCATGAATATCAACAAATAAATAAGTTTTAAAAATTAAAAATAATAATTTTATTAAGAAAACATGTAGAAATGGGGTGGAGCGGGCATGAAAGAATTTTCCTTATTTATACATGCGTTCCAACGTACGTAATCGAAGTAATATATGATGAAATTTGAGGTTCACATGTATGTTCCACTTGGCACGTAGGAGCGGAGAGGAGAGGAGTGAGAGATTACGAAAAAGCTGGGCGGTCCATTTTGCCGTTCTGGTGAGGGGAAGCACCCACGTTTAACGACCGTTCATTAGAAAAAACAATAACTCTCTCAATGGGGCACGCGCTTTTTTTAACAACTCCCCCTCCTCTCTCCCTCTTTAACACCTCCTCTATTTCCCTTCCTTCTCCCTCTTCATCATCACCATTTTTGTGCAGAATCTCAACTCCTGGTACCTCTCTCTCTCTCTCTCTATATATATATATCTTCATTGTGGGTTCTATATATTTTTCAGATTTAGTCGTCCTTTTTTATTTAGTATTTCTCCATTTGTGGGTTCGATTTCATATGTGCTGGATTAAGTGATGGTGTTCCTTTGAAATAAAGAACTGTAAAATGGGTGTCCTTTTATTGCTGAATTTATACCCTTCGATAAACATATTTGTTAGATTTATCATCTGTATCTTTCTTTTTAGTTTGGTCTCTGTATCTTCAATTGTGGGTTCTTTTATATGTTTTTTAGGTTAAGTAATGATGTGTCCTTTTATTTCTGATTCTAGACACCTCCATAAGTTAAGAGTGTCGCTTGTTCTTGTTGTGCTTGTATCGATTTAGTTCTTTTGTGACAAGTAAATAGTCGGATGATGGCAATATATTCATTCTATTTGTTTCGTATGCTTAGCTAGGTGTGAAGACTAAGCTTAATTACATGGACTATTTTTATTTTGAGAAGCAATGCAAATTTTTATGCACCGGGATATATATGAACAGAAGAAAGAATATGTTATTCCAGTGTGGGTATGTTGGGAAGGTCCTTTTAAAAGCTAGGATGAGGGGCATGAAATAGTTAAATGTCTCAGATATTTTGACCATTTTAAGTTATCTTCAAGTAATGTTGTACAACTAACTAAGCAAACAAATGGGTGTCTTGTATATATTATGTGGGTGTCATGGCGAATTTATAGTTTCCCTTGGATTGTATAAGCCCTGCTGTTTACACGAAATAGCTGTTCTTAGTCGGTATAAGGATAAGATAAGGAAGTGATAGTATGAGATTGGTGCTTCAATATCTAACTAATACTAAAGTATTGGACCACCTAGATGAAAGTTAGCGTAGATCCCGGTTTTGTTGAGTCTTGACTATATGTGTGGTTAAAAGGAGAGCCACCACAGTTTGTTTTCCAAATTCAAAACTTCTGGGATGTCCAATCTGTTGGATGTAAAAGCTAATTTCTGTTGTAGATTTGACAAACAACACAAGTAAAATATGCAGGGGAAACATAATCATGCAAGAGGCTGTATAGGTTAGAAGGCTTGCTGTTGTACTCAGGCACGGACCAAATTACCATGATCATGTTTAATGACAGTTAAATCTCTATATTTGGTGGAGGAGTTTGTTTATCATAAAATAGCTCGACATATAAAGCACAAATATAATCAGGTCAGACAATTAATTGGAGGTAATTTGTTTCTTTCAATAGTTATATAGGGAAGATATCTGGGATATATTCACAAAGCCAGTGATCATCGAGAAGCTGAATTAGTGCCTAGCTTCCCATGGGTTCAAAATAAAAGAACAGTGATGATTGGGTCCATTGTTGCCAGGCAGAGTTTGTTGGGTGTTGACAAGCTATGCATATAGACCCTTCAGGTCCCATGTATACTCATACTCGCTTGTTTCTTGTTTGGTAGCGTTCCTAGTAAAAACCTTAAGGAGTTTGGCCTGGAGGCCTGGAGAAGTCTTATAGGTTTGGGGCTTCTCGGTTTTTGTGATTTTCATCCTGTTATTTCACCTAGCCATTGTGGAATCCTGGTTACCTTTTTCCAATAAATGTAATCACAAATTTGCCGAACCATGTGTATCTTGTCAAGTTTATGGTGGCTTATTTACTCAAGAAGTTGGTTGGTGTTTTTATCGACACATTCACAACTAATAAACTAGGACAAAAGTCCTTGAGCTTTGCCTAATTCCTAAAAGGAGGATGAGAGTGCAGGTCAATGGTATTTAGGGATTAAAGCAGGGTTGTGATTATTTAATGGACTGCAACATCGGAGCTTTTGGATGTGAATTGGGCAACACAATCATTCAATATATGGAGTAATTCTTATGATCTTATTTGCTTCCAAGTGCTGTAGAGTCCCTTATCAGTTGGTTGTTACCTTCGGAATGATATTTGATTGCAAGGGATGATCCATTTTACCCAAAATTATTCACAGGCATAGGGAGCTGTGCAAGGTTGCAAATAGACTTCCATAAATTAGAGTGTTACCATTTTTCTGAGCAATCCTTGGACCTGTTTTCATCACTACTGCATGAGAGAACTTTTTTCTTGTTGCTTACATTAGTGTCTTACTAACTATGAGCAATCCTCAGACATGCTTCCATTCGCTATTCCTTGTGTCAGAGATCTTTTTTCTCCTTTATGCTTTTGTTATTTTTATCATTTCATGTAGTTATTAGTCAAAGGACAGGTTGGCAAACTTCAGCGCTAATTTAGTCTAGATTTTCCCTCATTTAATCTTTGATTAGGGGGAACTTGTTAACTGGGGCTTTTGGGACAATCTTTTGGAAGTCGTCCTGTTTGTTTTTTTTTTTGTGAGAAAGGTTAACTAGGGGAGTCATTTTTATATGCTTACATTTATCATTTTCTTTCTGCTGTTTCTGTTCCAAATTATATTAATCCACATGCTGTGAATGACTTGCAGGTATGGATCGCTCTTCTAGTACAAGTTTGTATCCCGCACACCGTTGTAAAACCTTGTACTTGGTTTGTCTCTTCTTACTTATTTGTGATTATAATTATGCTCCAAGAAGTTTTATTATTTTTATCCTTTTATTGATGCATAAATTAGAACAAACCCCCCATGATCTAACCTATTTCCAGATTTTGTTGCTATTTTCCTGTCTACCCTTTTTAAATTTGTTGCTTTTTATCCTAATAATGCAGGTAAGACATGGGCAAGGATTTCACAATGTAGCGGGAGAAAAAGACCACAAAGCATACATGTCTGAGGAATTCTTTGATGCTAGTCTTACCCCTTTGGGCTGGGAGCAGGTATGAGCTCCAAAATTTCATTGTGTATAGGTTTGCTCTATGATTCTCACTTAATTTTGTGTCCCTTTTCTTATATATTTCATCTCTTCTGCTTTTGAAGTTCTACTACACAAGTATTGTTCTGACTTATTTTTGTATTCATTCTTTATTTTGTGTATTAGTTTACTTGGATGTAAACCCCTACTTGGATGTAAAACCCAATTACAGGAGAGTTGCTAGAAATTTCATAGGTTTGTAAACAACAACGAAGTGACCAAGGATTGGGCCTGAGGCCTGGGTTGTCCATGTTGCATAGCCACAGCGTGGCACCGCCGGGTTCCTTTCCTACCTACTGTACCACAATCCATCCTCCCCCCCCCCCTTCCCCCACCCACCCACCCCCAAAAAAAAAAGAAAAGAAAAAGACAGAAAAACTTTGGAGAATGACCATAAGTACTGCCTTGTATTCCTTCATGTAGTAATGTGATTAGAGGGTCGCCCTAACCTGGTTATTCATTAAACTTGTTCCTTTTTATCAAATCATATTTGGACCATTAGTTTCGTTTAGGACTCTTCCTTCTTTCTCTCTCCCCCCCCCCCCCCCTCTCTCATAGATTTTGATGTTCTAATTCATTTTCATTACATTTATCCATCATGGAACCTTTTTCTTCCATGTTAAGATTTGTGCAACTTGTGGCAGGTCGATAAATTACGCAAGCACGTCCATGCAAGTGGGATTGCCAGTAGACTTGATTTAGTGATAACATCTCCCTTGCTAAGGTAAAGAGCTGTCAGGATGACAACTCAGTGCCTTCCCACATTGCTCTCTCTCTCTCTCTCTCTCTCTCTCTCTCTTTTGTATCTTTTCAATTAGTTAATAAATTTTTCTCTAGTTTATATCATTGAGGGAAATTGATCAAAATACCCATGAGAGGTGCACTATTTAGAATTTTACACTATTGATACTATTCTAACTCATAATCATATGGGTATTTTGAAATTAAATCAAACAATATGGGTACAAGGTTAAATAGTTCATTTTAGATGAGTATTTTGATAATTTTCCCTATCATTGATGAAAAGTTTATTAATCGCTAATTGACCGTAGTTAGTAGAGTTTTACTTTATGATAACAAAAAAAGTCATGCTTGCTAAGGTATTAAAATTTCTAGGTTTATATATTCTTGTTATGAGGTATTGTTGATGTCGTGACACACATTTCTCTGAACTAGCCAATTTGTATGATATTAATGTTATTTGGCTCATAATCTGTTGTCTAGAGTGAGAAGAACGAAATGAACCATAAAAGGAATAATTAAGGAACTGCAATTTAATGTTTCTGATTTTCACATTTAATTTTTATTGGCTGGCAATTTGTGCAATATGAGGAATATAATCACTTGGAAAGTAAGAAGTATTAGGAGTATGAAAAAGACAAACAGTTCAAAATGTCTTGTATAGTTGTTGTGATAAGGAAAGTGGGATAATTGAAGGCTAGAAGTTCCTATAGTTGTGCATATGTAAGTTATTGAGATCCTCAAGTGTGTTAGTAATCTCGATTCCAACCTTTTAGGATCTTGAACATGTCCTTTTGGGATCTTGAAATCAACCCTTCAGGGATCTTACTCCCAACCTTAAAGAGTATGTATGGTTTAGGACTATTATAATCTTTAAAGTAGGGATCTCTTTATTTCGAACTAGCAGATGATGCAACTATATTGAAAGTGTAATTGCATTACTTAACTACCTGTCTAGAAATAAATAAAATTATCATTTTGGTTGTTATTTGGTTTTTAAGGTGGGGATCGAGATCCTAGTAGTGGGGATTGAGATTTCTTAAAGATCCTTTTACCGAAGAGCCGGAGTGAGATTCCAGAGCAGGATCACCATTAGGTTGGGAGCGCCTGACAACTATAAATAATTCTCTTTGAGGCATATATATGTTTTGTACCCTATATATGGTTTTAGAAATTAAATTATAGATATTTCCCTACATGGACTGGATTATCAGCCTCATCATTCGAGCCTTATTTTAACTATTTAGGGTTGGACAAATCTTGTTCTGCCATTCCGTTCTATCAAGCGCCATACCCTTAGTCTGATCATCAATCATAACTTTTCTCATTGCTTCTATCGATGTCCTTTCAAGCCTTCCCCTTGGCCTTTTAGAGCATCCACTTGAACCAAATCTCCCCTCATAATAGGTGCTGCTCTAGGTGGACGCTGCACATCGCCAGACCACCTAGGTCTACTTTCCCTCATCTTATTGCCTATTGGAGCCATCCCTAAGTTCTCTTGAATGTTTTCATTTGAATTATATCCTTTCTCGTCTTGACACTCATCCATCTTAACATCCTCATTGGAGTTACACTCATTCTATGGATGTGTTAGTTCTTAACCACTCAACATTCTGTCCCCTAAAGCATGGCTGGTGTTACATGCATTTTATGGAAACTTCCATTTAGTTTCATTGGTATGCAATGATCACATAAGACTCTAGAAGCATATCTTCACTTCATCCACCCAACTCTAATTATATGCACGACATCTCCCTCAAACTCTCCATTGTCATGGATTATCAACCCAACATATCAAAAATAATTTCTTGTAGGTATTTATTGGCTATCAATATTAACTAATTCCTTATTTCTACTCATGTTATTTCTAAACTTGCATTCCATATATTCTGTCTTAGTTTGATTAATTTCATCCTTCCAAAATTCTAACTTTGTGGCGAAGTCTCTAGTCTCATCAATCAAAGCTATGTCATCTGCAAACAATGTATACCATGGTACCCCATCCTATAGATGTCTGGTTAACTCATCCATAACTAAAACAAAAAAATATCGGCTGAACCGCTAGCGCTTGATGTAAGCATTTTGTTACTGAAACCTCATTGTCTCTCCACTACCTGTCCTCACACTTGTTTGTGCCCCTTCATACATATCTCTCGCCATGTCAGTATATCTTCTAGCGACTCCTTTCTTTTCCAACACCCACTACATTAATTCTCTAGGTACCCGGCGTATGCTTTCTCTAAATTAATAAAGACCATGTGGAGGTATTTTCTTTTCTCCCTAAACTTCTCAATCAATTGCCTAAGTAGGAAAAAAACCTCAATTGTTGACCTCCCTATTATAAAGACGAACTGATTTTCTGATACACTCGTTTCATGTCGTAGTTGTTGCTCAATTATTCTCTCCCACATCTTCATAGTGTGGCTCATAAATTTGATCGCTTGATATCTCGTATATTTTTGTGTGTCTCGTTTTTTCCTCATAAATAGGTACCACAATACTTTTTCTCCATTTGTTTAGCTTTCTCCTTTAACATCTTCATCAATCAGAATATGCCAATCTCATCCATGTACTTTCAAAGATCCATTGGGATACCATCTAGTCCCAAAGGCTTTCCTATCTTCATCTTTCTCAAAACTTCTTTTATGTCAAATAACCAATTTCCTAATCTTACAAATATATCTATGACCTCCATCCTCATTCATGTCAAAGGTACCTCTTGACTTTTTTTCTCCCATCGCGGTCATCATTTAACAAATATTGAAAATAAATTTTAGGCTGAATTCATCATTTTATTATCATTCTATCTTTTTGCAAAGAACTTCTTCACCTCATATGTTCGGTACTCAAGCTGTCTTTCTTCCCAAATTTTCTGATATGCTCTAATGACGTGGGCCTTTTATGGACAAGAAGTATACCTTTCCTGAGTAATTGTCTTTACTAGAACCAATTCTTGATAAAGATAAATGAGATTTCACAATTTCTCTCTGGGTATGAGAAAGTTCCACAAACTAAAATCCTCTACATTTACCCTTATATTGGCGAAGCTATTCATAGTGCCATTGGCCTCCTCTGGAGTTTGTTGACATGTTTTGCATTAAGGAGTCCACAAATTCGACACAAATCTAAAAAATATGCCATCTCTTCAAGCATGGTGATTCTCTCTTTCATATATTATGGGCTGGTGAAGGCTCTCACCAGGGTCCAAAGGCACACTAACAAAGCTTGGGTTCTGCCAAATTCTTCTATGTCCAAAAGGCCCTCAACATCACTAGTTTAGCTTATAAGTCAAAACATATTGAAGCACACTTGATGAAAGACTCTATCCTCATCTCATCAAATCTTGCCAGGCTGTGCTTTACTTTGGAGCTTCTAGCTTAGAAGTCAAAAGATGGCAAATAACACTTGATGAATCACCAGTGTAGTCCAAAGTCCTACAAGTCAAGTCCATGTAAGGCCTTATGGAATTGCTTCATCTACACAGCTCATAGTGCTATATTATGATGTTAGACATCACCTTCTTTTCCATAGTCCCATTCACTTTTATGTATGTGCTTTGTATTTGAAGGTACACTTATTTTCTTTTAATCTATAGTTCTAAAATATTGTGATGATGGTTACCTTCCAAGGAAATCTATTCGGGTTCCATGCATAACCATGCATGTATAGAGTTTTGTGTGAACGTTTAGAGAATTGCAGAGCACCCAATCTACCACCCCATACTCCTCCCCATCAACTGATTAGTCTCCCCTTCATCTTTATCTCCTAGTTCTGGTGCTCCAGCTACCTCTCTCTTATCAGTCAACCTTATGGTTCCTATTTTCTATCCCATTTGAAAGCACTAACCTAGAAACAAGTCTTATCAAGGATTTTTTTTTTTTTTTTGCATCAGTTACATCTTCAAAACGTGCAAGCATACCATATTTGACAAACGCATGAACTTCACCCTGGCTTTCAGGGTTGCTTGTATACACTTTGGCCCTTTGATGTTTTCTTTTCTATCTTCTTTCTTATAATGAATTTGCTACATTTCTTTCTCACAATTCACTCTTTATTTTTTTGAAAACAAAAATAAATAACCAAAACTGTTCCATGTTTGCAAAAGGGAGCATGTGGAGAAGGTGGAGTAGTGCACTCCAGAGAAAGAACAACAGGAAACTATTTGGGAAGATGGAGTAAGAGATCGAGAGACATTTGAGGTGACAGAGTGAGAGATTGAGAGACATAGTGTAACAAGAAAGATGTTTTTGGATCTGAAATCATTAATGACTATAGAAATCACATAAGAATGAAAAAGAAATTAAAAGATGTGAGAGAAATAGTGGAGGGGTTTGATAAAGAGAGCGAGAGAAATTTGTTGGGTAGGAAACTTTTAACCAAAATTTTCTCAAAATTAATAATATGGATGGGCAGGAAATTACATGGGAGAAGTGAGATGACGGAGAATATGGCAAAAGTAGCAAGAGTACAAAAGTGAAGACATGATAGGGGATTAAGAACTTGATCATGTTGGAAGAACCGCTTCACTATAAAGCTTTACTTGAGACGTGGACTTCTGATGTAGCATTCTTTCTTGAATACAGATAAAGAAAATTTTAAAAATTTTGTGGTGTATTTGTCAACAACCTCAAATAGCGATGATAAGACGATGCAAGGAAAAGGACATAACAACCCTTGGCACAATAAAGATATGGCAAAATAGTCTACTAAAAAGTACAACTATGGATTGTCCTTTATAAAAATGCATAATTACATTGAACATTTACATTTCCCATAATATTAATGTGGACTTGTCAATCATGAGCTAAGCAGTGTCTGTTTCTTGTGTTCACCTTTCTGTAAATGCTTGCAATTTGGGAAAAGAAGTAACACCATCCACACTTATTTTCCTTGTGAAGTGGCAGTAATGAAAAATCAAAATATCCTTGGTTTTTCTTGGGAAATAGTAATATTCTTGCCATCTTTTTTTTTTTTATAGTCATCTAGATGGATAGATGTGTGTTAGTGTATGTTAGGTTAATCCTGGGTCACATAAAGGGTTACCATTTTTTGTTTCCTTAATGAGTAGGGCTAACATGAAGCCTTTTTTAATGAGTGGAGCATTCGCTTCATTTAAAACAAAATAAGAGTAAGAGAGAGAGAGAGAGAGAGAGAGAGAGAGAAGAGAGAGAGAGGAGCATTCTTATC